CAAAATCAAGGGGTAGGAGAAAATTCTATATATGTTTTAATTATACTTTCTACCCAAGGTTACTTGCGTGATGCAGACCACTTTAAGACAAGGGCCTCTTCCTTAACTTTGCCTTTATTGATTTGCCACTGAGCCTTAATAGATACAAAGACCTTTCTAATACCTTTGATTCCCTGTCTTCAATCTGGGGGTCATCCTAGAGAGAACGATACTTGTAGGGGAGGCTGAGAGAGGTTGATGAGAAGTTAGGAGAGAGACTTCGGTTCTGGTCCTGGACTTGCCTTTCACCTGTTGGGTGATCCTGCATAAACCACCTGTGGCTTCTCTTTCCCATTGACTTTATCAGGCTCTGAGAAAGCCTACAAACTACTAGCAAAAAGACTCTCAAATATCACGAAGAAGAGATATTCAGTAAATGTTAAAGAACAAGGACAAGAATAAGTCTTAGTGAAGCCTGGGCAACTCTGTCCTCTTCTACTAAAAGACGGAGACATTATTCTTCATATATCAGAGTGTTAATGAGGCCCTTGGATTAATATGGTGGAAGAGGGTCATTCTGTATCTTGATTTTACATGTTGGGCTAAAAAGAAATCACAGACAAATTGATTTGGACTGTATTAGGGAAATTAACCAACTCTCACTTTTATGAAAAGCCCAGGGGCCAAAAGAAGTGATAGGGCCAGGAATTGCTCTATGAATACAACTCTCTTGGGGAGTCTGTGGTCTGGTGGTAGAGTAAGATATCACAAAGAGATGAATTTTAGCAGGGTGTAATAAGCACTTAAAATTGAGTTTATCATACAAAGAAAGTAGAATAAATGCAATACCTAAGCCTGGAGAGTAAGAAAAGAAAAATAAATCTTTTTTTATTTATTGTACTTTAGATGAAGGTTTACAGAATAAACTAGTTTCTCATTAAACAATTAGTACACATACTGTTTTATGACATTGGTTAACAACCCCATGGCATGTCACCGCTGTCCCTTCTAGGCCTTGGGTTCCCTATTACCAGCTTTCCTGTCCCCTCCTGCCCTCTAGTCCTTGCCCTTGGGCTGGTGTGCTCCTTTAGTCTTGTTTTGTCTTATGGGCCTGTCTAATCTTTGGATGAAGGGTGAACCTCAGGAGTGACTTCAGTACTGAGCTAAAAGCGTGTCCAGGGACCATACTCTCAGGGTTTCTCCAGTCTCTGTCAGGCCAGTAACTCTGGTCTTTTTTTGAGTTAGAATTTTGTTCTACA